TTGTATAGTTTTTGATTTTGGTTTATTTTTATTATTGTATATAATATATTTTTTAATGAAATGAATAAATTTTTGAATTGAATTGAAAATTGATATTGAATACCCCCTTTGAGTAAAAATTTGAATTCATTAAACAAATTTGTTTAAAACGGTATTTCAAGTAGTCTTAATCAGATTTTACTTTTAGCTGTGTTTGTCACTGTCACATTGAGAGAACATATGGAAAAAAAGACGCATTTACCAACCATGGAAAAAAACTGTTTGATGACACCTGAGATTAAAACTGTGATCTTTTAATCCTTTATCACATGGCATAGAATCCTTTCAGGATTGTTGTACACCAAAAACCAAGTAAAAACTTCCCAATATGAGAACAGTGCTGCTATTTGTAGCCTAGTGTTATGGCCATCCTTTTCCAGCAGAACAGTATATTGAAAACCTTTTATCATTGCATTCACTGTATGTGTTTATTGCCATGTCAGAGAACTCTGTGCTTATAATGGACTGCAAAACAACTACAAGCTGTTATCTTCCAAAGTTCTGCACAAATAATAAATATGACCCATCTAATGGACACTTGCTGCTGCTGCTGCTGCTGCTGCAGGAGATGATTGCGACCTAGATGCCAAAACACAGCGTGTGAGGAAAATGTGGGCTTATGAAAGTTGATACAATCATTTCTAGATTTAACAATATCAAGGTCTCATGTTTTTCTAATATGGTAGCACATAATCCTCATTTAATTATATAAAACAGTTCCTGTCTGTTGCCTATTTTGCTGTTTATCAAAACACAACAAGGTGGGTCTTGCTGAATAAAAATCACTTTAAATAACCATGTTTACCCACAGAAAACACAAAGTTACTTATTCACAGTAATGTAGCAACAGTATGTCATTCTGATACTTGTCTATTATGCAGTGTGAATTTGTGTTTGACTTACGATCTAATGGGACCTCCAGAGCGATGGTGAGATGTCCCAAAATCAACACCAGCAGCGCTGCATCCATCCTCCTCTTTTCCATCCTCATTTTGTGTCAGAACTGCTCTCCAAATCCACGATGCTCTGCCCTCTCTGCCGCTCAGTCACTCTGTCTGAGGGCACATGCACGCTACAACTTCAGGGAAGAAGAGAAAAGAAAGACAGGGGGAAAGAAAGACCATCAGAGATCGGAGGATAGAAACTACAAAACTGCAGAACACGGCTCTGATAGTTCCAGAGGCTGTGGCCATAGATCAATGCGAGTTGCCATGTACTGCATTTTGCTGGAAGCAATCTTTTTGATCTAGTGCACTCCAGCTGGGATCGACGTGGGCCCACATGGGTTCATTTTGCTCCACTCATCACATGACGCCATTAGGCTTCGCCGTCATGTCAATTCCTACCAGCAGCAGATGACATATCAAGGTTCAACACGAGGGGCACACTTTACATTCCATTACAATTTTACTCTCAGTTTTATCAATTCGAACGAGTGAGGGATTGAGCCTGCAGCAAAGTCATTTGCACCGAGGTCAGTTTTCAGACTCAGAACCATCAGTTCTTCATGACACTGCTGTAGTAGGCAAAGTCAGGTGTGACCAAACAAATGTTAAATCTCTGGCTGTTTAATGGGACAGATGGCACGGATACTACAGGATGCTCTGGTTAAAAAAGTAGGAGTGTTTACATGTTCAATCATCATGATAAAACATTATGTAGCCATTATTTGTCATAAATTTTCTTTGTTACTAAATGATCGACTTTTGTCTTTATCATAGCATTTCTTCAGAATGGTGTCAAATTGTGTTTAGTTAAAAATTGACAAACTGAACACATTCCACACACGGCAGAATACATTTTCACCTGTTGCCTGGCAGCTCAGTGTTGCCACATCACATCTTCTTTTAACAAAAGCAATTGTTTTTTGGGGACGAGGCTAAAATGGAATAAAAGTCAAATGCAAATGTTGACATACTGAGGTAATCAAAACCAGAGTGCAGAACAACCGTCAGTAACTGATAAGCACTAATGCTTTACTGACTTCACAGTAATATAATGATATGAAAGAAATTATTCCTATTTTGTTTGAATGTGCGCACAGTTTTCAGATAATGTGAAACTAAATGAAAGAGGAATCATTTTCTGTCTTTTAATGACTGCAGCCTGACCCGTTTCCTTTCCTTCCTGTCTGTCTTACCCAAGGCAATCGATGGTGTATAGTACTAAAATGTCACAGCTTCATTTCGAGCTCAGGAGCAGCAATTTGCTATGTTATCTCAAAAGCGAATTACCATATTTGGGATATTAACGATGGCTGCAGAGCCCTTTAAAGGCAGAAATGTGTATTAATGTCCTGCCTTTGGGCATCGGGTGGAACAAGGCTTTGGATGGAACTAGAGGCTCAACAGTCAGACCTGGTTCTGGTCTGATGCTTCATGAGGGAACAAATACATTCGTTAGTGCTGCCCTGGGGTCATAATTCAGTTTTTGACCCAAAGCTGGTGTCTAGTGGTGTGGGAAGAAACCGAGGCTAATGTCTGGGACCTCCGGCTTCAAACGCGCCCCTTTTGGGACGGCTGGTATTGTTCGTCCGACTCAGCCAATCCCAACGCTGTGTACGCCAAAGGGCAGGTCCGTCCTGGGATTTGACACACAAAGATCCGGGGGATCATTTCATCGAGCTTTTTCAGAAGACTGCAGGCAGGGGTGCAGAACCTCAACACACTCTCGCTTTTATTTATTTCCAACGCACTGTGAGAAATGTATGCTCCTGAGAAAGAAAGAAAATCCATTCGTGGTTGTGACTGTACTGCAATTACTTCTCTGTACAAGTTTTTTTTTGTTTGTTTTTAAAAGAGCTTGAATTGATCCATTTCAGGTGAAGTTGAAAGCAAAACTCCCTGTGACAGTAGGGGCATAAATGTGATAATTATAAATTTTATGGTGAATCCCCCAAAAGCCTGGAGATTCTTATCTGAAATGGAGCCAGAGCTTCATCCTGGATTCATTTCCCAATTTAATGAGGTGTAGCAGCTCGGCTTCAGCCGGTCAGCATGTGTGTGTCTTTATGTGCCTGTGCTCACTTGAGTGTGTATACAGTGTGTGTGTGTGTCATAATTATCCCCATGAGCTGCAGTGATATGGAGCCAACCACTCACATCCCTGTCACAGCAGGATGACAGTGGGGATTCAAGTGGGGCTTTTAAGACCAACACACCATCCACCAGAGTTGTAATAGTAAAAAAAACTGACTTTACTCTGCTCAAATTATTTCAGTAACTACTCATTCTCTTAAGCTGAACACCTTCCATTTACTGATGGAGTAAAGGGAGGGTTCTGAAACAAGTCAAAGCTTCTCTTTTTCAGACGCACGATTCTTCAATGAGACACAAATATCTATATCTATTGTCAGACCCTCTTATGCATCCTGTGCTGACAGAGATGGGAAAGCCAAAGTCAATAAAGATCCCTTGCTGAGGGCTAGATAAATCCAAAGTAGTGTTTGGAATGCTCTGCCAAAAGCTGTTAGGCAGCTGATAAGATCGAACAGGAAATGGCCTCTTAGAAACAAAACAAAACAAATGACAGGCTGGTAATGACAGATCCACAGGGTCTTTTTAGGCTATTTTTTTCTAAATTGGTATGACTGAGAGGATGATAAAGTCTGTAATCATTTCCCTTTGAAAATTCAATACAGTAATTACAAAGAGGAAAGGCTGACATCTTCGAGGGCACTTAGAAACTTCTATTGTGGTCAGTTTTGATGGTTTAGTGACAGGTATGATTAAACTGCAGGTTATCAATATTTCTTTCAATTTTGACTTAGTAAATGGTCCACACTTATTCTCCTTTATAACATCTCCATGTTCTGCAAAGAACTCCACGATATTTCTTATTCACACACATGGGCAATGTGTTTCTATTATTTACACGCTACACACATAACTGTTTTTCTCACTCATAAACCAGTAAGCATCTGTACAAATAGGGTTTCAGTGTTTTGGCATGTAGCAGGGGCTTGGGATCAAACCCTCAATCCTCTAATCTTGGGCCACAAGTAAAACATGTATGATGCACCTACAACCAAAGATTATCGTCAAAGGTTTTCTTTTTTTCAAATGATAAATGTAGCCAGCAATTGTTACATGATTGTACATAGTCAAATGTTTTGTATAAATAGTCTTTCAGGCTGATGGGAAGTCCATGTGTTGGCTCCCCCCGATAAGTTTAGCTCAGCTGCCATTCATAATCCAAATACAATACATTCTTATCAAATTATAGTGCCTGTGAACAAACACATTTTTTCAACACATTATGCTTCCTTTTTATTTGTCAGATCAGGATGTATAAGCCAATTTTAGTCAAAAATAAACACATTCTTTTTATTTTATCTGCTATAAACTGATTAAAAAGCAGTGTAGACCTTATTTTAACTGTACTCAAGAGCATTTATTAAAATTATAATTTTCATAGATTATAGGTGCTTTGTATTTGTATGCTGATGTAAAAGGCCAGACTGAAATGGCTCTGGGGCCACTAGCGTCTGGCTCTCAGGCCTTATGTTTGTTTTAACTTTCTAATTTGATGAGTAAAATCTAATGTTTACACATGTTTTGGTCTCAAAGAGAAAGAGACTATTTTTGTTACATAGTATTTGCTGAAAACTGCATTGACTGGAAGTTACCACATTATTTTAGGATTTTTCTGAGTAAGGAGCCATCACGGGCAGTGGCGGATGCTGTTCTTTCAAGAAGAGGAAGCTCAATTTCGGCCTACATCATAAAACGTGTCAGTTTATTTATACGTAAATTCTACCCTCTGTTCCTTTTCAAGAAAATGATCTGTGAACCTGTCACAGATCAGTTTACAGCACTTCCAGTCAGCCAGCTCACTTTTTCATACCAGGACAGATGAAAAGATCTGTTACTTTCCCCACCTTTTTCACCAAATTAATCTGAGGAGTTGATCAGCCCTGCTGTTTAACTCTAAGTTTTTCTTCGTAAGGAAGACTATCAAACGGCTTCACCAAAATACGGTCCACAACTTGCTACTGGCGTAAGGCTAGAGTGAAGTGTGTCCGCCTGTGATGTGCTTTGTGACGGTGGAGGGGCTCAGCAGCACCCGCTGGACAGAAACTGCGATAGACGTCAGAAAGAGTGATAGAAGTCAGTCTCCAAACACAAGCAGCTATAAAAAAAAAAAACACCAGAAATAGAAGCTTGATTTGTCGCTAGTCATTAACAAAGAAAATGCTGCTAAAAGGATTAATAAAATCTCCGGTTCAACTCAGAACAGAATGAAACTAAAAAATGCTCCCAAAGATGTTTACACCAAAAGATCACTGATTCGCTTATTTCGCTGTCAATCAACAAGGGATTCAGCCTCAGACAGATCATCCAATCATCATGCAGAAGCTGAGCATCTGGGCTAGCCGAGTCCAGCCCACTGCCCCATAGACCTCCAGAGAAGCTGAGCTTCCCTTGCAGTCTTATGGTACATTTACACCAAACGCGTTTTGAGCATCAGGAGCATCTGGTTTACGTGCAAAGTCAATGGTGGATGCGCATCTAGGGGCGTCTAGAAGCCGAGCAGTGCATCTGGCGCATTTGGAGCAGTGCGGCTCGAAGCAGTGCACGCACAGCACGTCCCAAGCGTCCGCCGCATGAGTTGGAAAATCTGAACTTTTGCTGCTCGACGCGTCGCATCAACCAATCCGAGAGACTCATTTTTCCACGTGACAGTTTCCTGAATGTTGCCCACTAAACCGAAACAGACAAACAGGAGATCTTTACCTGAAACCGAACATCTGCAGTTGGATTTTCTGGCTGGATATATAAGTGCCGATGTGGGTCAGCTGGTCCGGACAAAAAAAAACAAACTATTACCATTACTATTACTATACACTATTCCTTTCATTCTGAAGGGAATAATGTTTTTTAATGCTTTCCTTAGATAGTATATTTTTTAGAATTGTAGACTGATAAACTCTCCATCTATGCTTTGTTTTAGCCGCTTTGCCTTTCCGTGTCACAGGGAAGCTGGTGCCCATCTCCAGCAGTCACTGTGTGAGAGATGGGGGACACCCTGGATGGGTCACAAGTCCATCACAAGGACACAGAGACAAACAACCATTCA